TGAAGAGTTCTTGCGCGCAGCTAGACGTAAGAAGAAAATAGATGGAGCACAGTTTCTCGAGCGTAGTAGAATTCGGTAAAAGCGGAGGAAATTTAACAAGAACTTCAGAGGAATAGTTTATATGCATGTATATCCTATTTGTTTTTATAATGCCTCGAATAATGCAAAGGTTCTGGCCTGCCCAATACGAAACGGAAAATAATAAAGACAACAGAATTGTGATAAACTCTTTTATTGCACAAAGACAAATAGCACTATATACAATTTATCCACGTCAGAGCAGAATTGTTTAATATTCGTACATTCGAGGAATTCTATATCACATAAAATGAGCATTATATTCTCAATGTAACGGAACTGTATCATTTTACTTCAAGATTATTAATTCAGTATCGTTCGCATAATACTTTTATTGCATATTCAATATGAAACGTATAAAAAGTAATCATATCAGGGTTACAATGAAGAATTAATCGGTTTCTGTACTAGCGTATAGCTAAAACAGATAATCACACTTGTACATTCAATAAGGAACAATTGACTTTAAAAAATTATGTAATAACTTTCAGTGCAGTCACAACATAAAACTGTTGCCTGAAAGATCTAATGAGGTCACCACATCTTCCTTCTACGGCCTATTAACTTATACGTATATTTTTGCTGCATTTCCTTTTAAACCTATTTCATGGAATTTTATTAGAGATATATTTCTCATTCGATTAATTCTGTTCTCCCTTCGCGGCAAGGGAAGGATACATAAAAAGTCAAAACATTTTTATTAATAATTGAAAAATATAGAAAAATATAAAACACCAAAATTCATTTAAAAAACAATTTTTACAATTAAAATTACATTTTCTGCGCAAAAACAAGCAATTTGGCCAGTGGAAAAGAAGGCAGATTTTTCCATACACAAAACTGAAAATTTACTTTTGTTCCCACTCGGCGAAAAGACACAGAAGGTGCAGAAATTGACTTAATTCACTATTCTACTAAGAGTTTTCGGAGGTAAACAAATAGCTGCTTAGTCGCTTAGCTTTTAAATTGTTGATAATTCTACAACTGTTGCGTGCAGATTAACTAAAGGGATAAAAACTTTAACGGGAAGACAAGAACAACATAATTCAATCACCCTTAAAGCAAAAAATGCACAATTTACCGACATATAGGGGAAAAAACTGAGCTTACCGAGCCGCGTAACAGAGTGGGTGCGGCCGATTGCAACCAAAAAGAGAGGTGCACAACTACATGTTGTATAAGTTCCATATACAAATTTTCAACGTTCTACGGCTGCTCGTTCTTAAGTTATGCGATTATATATACATGTACGGACAGACGTCGCGAAACAATTTCTTCTGAATCCATTTAAATCCATTTTGGGGAAAACAAACCTTTATTCTGTCCGTACATACAGATATCACGCAAAAACATCCTTCATATGGATTCCAAAGCGGTCACATGGATTTTTCATTGAAATATGATACCGGAAATTTTTTGCGATTACAATACTTCCTTTACTTCGTAGAAGGAAGTAATAATTACATATTTTATTTTAAATTATAATTTTTGTTAAAAAGTTCTTGCAGTTGAATTGTTGTTTATTTTATTGAACTATGATTTTTAAGCTTGCCGAGTAGACTAATTATGCAAATAAAGAATCAAAGTTTCTGTCTCAGGACTCATTCTATTCTATCTCCGGCATTATATATGCATAGCTTCTATGGTGGCTCTAATTAATGAGAAAATTTGAAATGAAATTCACATAATTCCACATTTGCTCTGATTTTCAGAAATGGTTTTATTTTATCACGGTTCAGAGGAAAGAAAACCTGTTGTCATTTTATCTACCGCTGTTCACATATGGCCTTTAAAAACTGTCAGCAAGAAATTTAATTATAAAACAATAATTTTATTCGTGAAAAATTCTTTTAACTTCTATTTATGTCGAAGATATCGCTTATATGAAAAGCCGTAAAAGACTGGCTTTTACAGTCACATTTCAGGAAGTAATTTTAACCTTGAAAATTTAAAGCGTCTATACCTGTTATATTCAAAACGTATCTTATGCTCTGTCTCTTTTTAAAATGAAATATGTTTAAATGGTGAACCAGAAAAGAAAATCAAAAATTTATTTGCTCTATTCCCCTCAGTTTTGAATGGTGGATATGGCAAATTTATCAAATTTTACTAAAGTAATTTACAATACTTTATAAACTCTTCTAAAAATTACATTTTAAGTCCTTTTCATAAGTGATGTCAGACAATTCAGTTATATATAAGCCTAAGAAAGGTTATCTCGTCGGTGTAATAAAACAATGAAAGTCCTAAAATGAATAATATATACGTAAAGCTTTAAGCTTTGGTGTGGTTGTCTTGAAAGCATCTTATTTTTTGCAGTGGATTTCTAGAGCTTCTGGAATTAATCTTTAATTTTTAAATTCCTACTATTAGCTCACACTCTCCCTATATCTTGTTCAAATTTTCAATCGTTAATAAGATACTTTTTATTCATCCACTCAAGTTCAAATACATTTTTTAAACTTGTAGTGGATCTTAATACAGTTTTCACATCATCACTTGATCTTAATACAGTTTTTCCACATATTAAAGTCAATTCCTACTTATTTATGCGTTTATTGGAACTAAAGGTATGCTGTTTTTATTAAATATATTAAAAGACTTACAAATAATGATCGTTTATTAGGAATTCTCACGTGCTGTAAAAAATAATTTTATAACAACTTATATATAACAGTACATGACTATGATAAATGGGATTGTAATATTTAACAAAAATAAGTGGCAACAGTAAGACAGAGTTCTAAAGATTTTTAAAGTATATGGAATTAAACAACTGTAGTTTATAGAGTTGGATGAAGCGGATGTAATGTCCCATTATGTAGCGAAAATTCTTCCCATATTTTTATGTTAACATGACAATAATATATGTTTAAAATATACCCTTTAAAATGTCCCTTGCTTCACAGACGGAGAATGCGAAAAGAAAGCGAAAAGAAACTACAACACAACGCACGCGACGATTAGAGAAAGATAAACGTAAGCGTCAAGAAAAGCTTCCTACGAAAACCCTTCGCAGCCGGTCAAGCATACGTCGCCTTGAGTCGTATGCAATTATTAGATGGAATATTAATTAAAGAACTGGACTGCTCTAAACTCACTGGAAAGGTTCTTTGTAATAATGAAGCATTACAAGAGATGGGTAGAATGAGAAATTATAGACCACCAGCTTCATAAATTAGATGCGAAAAAATTTGGCTTTAGTGTAGAATTGGGTGCTCCTTCGATTGGCGACATATTTTTTTTTTTTTTTTTTTTTTTTTTTTTTTTTAAATTTTGGCGAAGAAACCTCACTTCTGGTTACCACGATAGTTTTAAATTTGTTTTAGATTCCCGATTTTATTTAAATGAAAATAGACTGATATGTACATGGACATATTTAAGGCAGTGCGCAATGCCTAGTTTGTGCAATTCTAGGATGTTTTTTTAAGTAAAAACAGATCGATGTGTACATGGACACAGATCTTATGCAATTCTTTGACTTCTTATTTTGGTTTGGTGTAGCGGCCATCTTGAAATTGTGACTTACTGGCGCCGATCTTGGCGTCAAGAAAGAATCGCCAATAAACAAGGGGCACCCAATTGTAAACCTTTACCAAAAATTTTAATAAAAAGTAACTAAAATAAAAGTTTCCTTTGTTCACCTAAGTAGGAATTGATTTTTTTATATTACTTGTTACTTAAGTAGTGTACTTTCTTTATAACTCTCTCCCGAAAACTTAGCTTCCATGTAAGAACATACTTTAGTGAACGAAATACGCTTATCTTTGCCTTTCTTGTAATTTGTCTATTGTGGTATGAAAGCTCTAATTCAAAGAAAGAAAAGAAAGTATTTCTATGGTAACTTTAAACTAAAGAACCATAAAAAACTTTAAACTAAGAACCATAGAAAATAAAGTATTTCTTTGGTTCTTAAAGAGTGTGCAGAGAGAAAAGGTATGGGGAAGTTGCGAACATATAAAAAACAGGCCTGTATATTAAACGTTTTAATACTGTTACTTATTAGTATTAGAGAACTGAAAGTACTTGCAATACAAGCTAAAAAATCAATTAATATATAATTAATAACAATCATAATCTCTTGTTGCAGTTAAGTGTAAAACATAGATATAATATTGTGCTAAGAACAAAACCCTCGAACAAAGCTGTGCATGACATCAGCGGGATAGTGTGCAGCGAATCGAAAAAGTTTGAAGAAGAAATGGATTTTAAATCTATTGCCGCTAAGGAATTTTATCATTTGGCCAGAACTGAAATTATGTTGCATTGTTGTTATGTGACTTACCTCACTTGTCTTCCAGTAACATCAGGACAAGCCCACGAAATTCATCGTGGCAAGGAATGCAAGATTGCGCCTGTCGTTGGCAAGAGCCTTGAGCGCCATACAGGTTATAGTACAACTTACCGCGTGTTTAGAGTGCCCCCATGCCGCACAGACACTATACATTTACAGACATCCATTCCTTCTCCTAGATTTCTCCGAGCGGAATTTAAATTTTACTTACTTTCAATGCTTCTGCTTCAAAGTACCATAGACATTTTTTATAATTCATTCAGTGAATTTAATCTTATTTGTTTACTGAAATTGTCAAAATTTTCAAGTAATTGTCAACTACAAAAAACGATAAAACACTGTCCACAGATATATTGGGTTGTTCGGAAAGTAATTTCATTTTTTCCCGTCAGAGGACTTAATTACATTTTTTCGAAACCAACTTCACACTTAAGCCGCATAACCATTATATGTCTTGAGAGCTGATATTACAAGGCTTGTGTGTGAAAAAGTTCTATTAATTCTACGCAGTAGTTTTTGGTTGGTGCCCTTTTAAATATGGAGAGAAATAAGCAGCATTTTCGTCATATTTTACTTTTTTACTTCAGAAAAGGTAAAAATGCTGTCCAAGCGAGAAAAAATTGACGGATGTGTATGGTGAAGGCGTGTTAACAGTACGCCAGTGCCAGAACTGGTTTGCAAAGTTTCGATCCGGCAATTTTGATGTCGAAGATGCACCACGGTCTGGAAGGCCGGTCGAAGCTGACAAAGATGCGATGAAGGCATTAATTGATGCAAATCGGCGAATAACCACACGAGAGATCGGTAAGAGGTTAAATTTGTCGAATTCGACTGTTTATGGCCCCTTGAAAAGCCTGGGCTTAACCTCGAAGCTCGATGTGTGGGTGCCCCATGTTCTTACGGAGCGAAATTTGTGTCGTCGCGTTGACGTGTGTGATTCGCTCCTCAAACGTCAGGAAAATGATCCATTTTTGAAGCGGATTATTACTGGGGACGAAAAATGGGTCGTATACAACAATGTGAAACGCAAGAGGTCATGGAGCAGAAAAGATGAACCGGCTCAAATCGTTTCAAAAGCCAACATTCACCAAAAAAAGGTGATGCTGTCCGTTTGGTGGGATTTCAAAGGAACTTTTTTTTTTTTTTTTTTTTTTTTTTTTTTTTTTTTTTTTTTTAAGCTTTTACCGGACAATACAACTATTAATTCAGAAGTCTATTGTCATCAGCTGGACAAATTGAATGATGCACTTAAACAGAAGAGGCCAGAATTAACCAACAGGAAGGGTGTAGTGTTCCACCAGGATAATGCGAGACCTCATACAAGTTTGGTCACTCGCCAAAAGCTTTTACAGCTTGAATGGGACATACTGCAACACCCACCATATTCCCCAGATCTGGCACCTTCCGATTATTATTTGTTCCGGTCCCTTCAAAATTTTTTGGATGGTAAAACCTTTACCTCAAATGAAGATGTAAAAAACCACCTGAATCAGTTTTTAGCCAGCAAGGACCAAAACTTTTATGAACGGGGAATCATGTTACTGCCAGAAAGATGGCAAAGGGTGTTGGACCAGAATGGCCAATATATAATTTAATAAAATATTTATTCATTATACGAAAATTGTCTTTCATGTCCCCCCAAAAAAAACGAAATTACTTTTCGAACAACCCAATACTAGCTTCGAACTGCAAAGATCTGAAGAACTAATTTACGTAATCTGGCAAAAATCAACGAAACATTTTAAAGAAAATTCATTTACCTGAAACTGTGAAAGTAACAATTAAAGATAATTTTCCTTTGAAAGTAAACATTTCATTTTCCTTAAAAATGTTTTATCTAATTTTTTTTCCTTCCCATTTACTTACAGCAAAATACGGCAGAAATTTCCTTTTCGTATATTTTTCTTTAAAAAATATGATAATCCTCTTAGTACCTTTTTGTATTATACAGCAGGTTTTATTGGCCATATTATATCTCTTGTGAAAATACTTTCATCCGAAAACAAATTGTTCCTATTTTACGTTCTTATTTATGAAACCAAAGCGCGTGATGTTCGTATTCAACTTTTGTTATGTAATCCCGCACGGCAGCCTACGACGCATTTTGATGCGCTTTCCAAAGTGTGATTAACATATTTAAATGCATCTTCAGTGCAATAAACAGAACCAAAAGAATTCAGTTTGCAAGACTTACTTCAAGGGTAGTTGCACATAACAAATAAATTTCAAGCATTAGAGGATGTAATTTCGTAATAATTTTCTAGTTAAAGGCAAACACACTTTTATTTAAGTAGGACAAGTACTACATGTATATTTTTATCGCATTTATAAGTCAATATGCGTGCAATTAATGATACTTTTTTATCCTATACAAGAATGCATTTTTATAAATTTTTTACAAATTATTGTTTTTTATCATGTTTAAACCGACAGAAAATCACAATGGAAATCATTAAACATTTTTAAAGTAGAATGTAAAAGATAATTATGAATAATCAGCTGTTTATATTTGACAAAATGATACAATTGAAATTAAAATGCGGTTAATAAAAGCTGAAAAAAAGAAAAAAAATCTGAAAGCTTTCAGATTTTATTACGCACAAAAGGGCATTTTTTAACGTTTTGTGTATTACCTTTATTTATTAAATATCATATTTTTCGCACTTAGAATACATAAAATTCAGTTCAACGGCAATATCACAAAATATCTAAAAACAGCGTATCTTTAGAATTTCCGATATAATCTCACGCGCTGGAGATAAAAATGTTTTTTCCCGTACAGTGTTGCCATTGCTCGCTTTGAAATCGTTCAGTTTGTTAATCAAAAATTCGTTAAAGTTTTACAAAATTTCAAATAGATAATAAAACAAATTCGAAATTCAAAATTTGGGCTTCCAACTGCCCATGTCCGGTTGTAGGACTACGTTATTCAGAATTTGATGGCTCTAGGTATGTTGATTCTTTACAATGCGAGAAACATTCATGCGTTCAACTCATTATTTACTTTCTTTAAATACTGTGAGATAATATTTAGTGACAACAGTTTGAAAAGTGAATCGACATAAGATGTCGTTTTGAAATAAATAGTCCTTGGGAAAATGCCACTGTTTATTTATTTATACGCGTCTTCCTTATTAGAAGATACTCTGCCCTTGTCTTAAGATGAAATAAAGAAATTATAGCTAATTATCAGTAAGGAACAAAAATTTATCAATAACTTTCGAAGAAAAATAACAAGTACAAAAAGCTCACAAGCTCAAAAAACGAAACGCGGTAAAGTAGGCAAGGAACTATGGGACTGAAAGTGACAAACCTTTCAATAATATTAAGATCAAACTATCCTGTACCAAAGTATATAATATAATAGCATTGGGAACTTTTATCAAACATTCATAAAAATTAATAATTAGATTGAATTATAAGTTACGTCAATTTCCCAGATTATTAAAAATCAAAAACATAAATCATGTAGAAATGTGTTTATTGTTTAAAAATCGCTTAATTTGTGAAGCAATTATAAATATAACTTTGAAGGTTAAAATCTTAATGATGTGCCAAGGATCAGCAACTGTGAAAGTTGGCCATGTTTTCTGAAAGAAAAATTAACCACGGCTAACAAAAGCATATTAACTTTTCACAACGTGACATGACGTAAGGGCTCAACATTTTGAAGACTTTACAGACTTTCCTAGCATCATTAACTGAAATTATTACACATAGTACTCGAAGTAGATGAGTATAGGTTTTCTAAACTGTCAAACATTTACTGTTTTTATAAGTAAAAAACAAAACATTTCACATACTTAAGCGCAATTTAGAATAATGTTTAATAATTCAAAAATATTGCATTCGAAAATGCATTTGTATTTAAGCCAAACTTCACAATATGTAATAATTGAAGATATCTTGTAATATTTCATACATACCAATATCCAAAAAAATTTGCAATCAGTGTAGGTATATTTTTGTACTTAAAAAAACCCACTATTATTTGAATTCGTTATATGCTCTCAGAATGCTGCATGAAATTCTTCCAGCTTATTCATTGTTTGTTACCTTACCTGTTCTTTAAATTACGTTTTAAAAAGAGAACTTCTTGTGATTTTATACTTTATTAGAAGCGTTGCAATCATATACATAAGTATGAAGCAAATCATATAATACCCGATCAGATTTATTCATATGTTTCATTGCATACGGAACGGAGATAAGATTCACAGTAATTTCTGTTTGTCACTGTTTATCAACGCTTTAAAACTAGTCTGAATATTAGATGTATTCAAAAGCTATATCGCTTTCTAGTTAAAACAAAAAAGCAAAGAACATAAAAAGTAAAATAGCTGCGATTTCATATAACTATCATAATTACGATAATATCTTATCCTTATTATATACCTTCTGGTAGTAAGTTAATTCCCCATCTGAAAAATTACTCTGTTTTCGAGTTAAAATGTTTTTAATGTTGTTTTCACACAGTCATTGCATTATTATGACGAAAGCTAACGCTTCTCTAATGTAAGATCGTTGGACATACTCGTATTTTTCTGAGTTTACCTAGTTTCCGGTCGCAGAGATGTGCATTTATTATTTGGTTATGTCGCATTTAAACTCTTGATCATCCTTTTGAGGTTACTGCACAGTTCTGAAACTCGACACAGTTTCCAATACTTTATATACTGGAAAATCATTCTCATTGGTTAATATCCAGTGCTTAATCCATTTCTTATCGATACAATATTCAGTTCTGTAATGAGAAAGTAAAGAAGGCTTAAGAACTAACTTTGTACTAAGCAGACTACTAGTGATTCACTCATTGCCTGCAGAATCCCTTGACAGAACTTCCTGATGTGGCCGTATTTGTTTCTTTGGGTATTATTCTGTGTACCAACAAAGTTTTCGCTAGTTGGGGACGGTAGGATGCGATGCACCTTTTAAGATTCAATAAATGTATCAACCATCTCCAACACGGAGTTTCGGATCTTCTGAACTATGACAATCGAACAAGTTGTGCGTGCAGTATGATCCCTACCATATTCGAATAAAAATCAATACCTCACGCGAATTTTAAACCTTGCCATTTTAAGCTGTTAAAAGCATTACTTACTCAGACGAAACTAGTGCCTTTACATGTTATATTGCTTTTTCTAAGCCAGTACAAAATTTCAACTATCTAGTATCATCTGTGACATAAAGTACCCGATCACAACTTGTATTTACCAATTATTTCTTAATAAATTATAAAGGATGTTATTTTGTTCATGACTTTGTTATGATTCATTAGGAAACATAAGGGAAGGTGGATGGCCGTTTCTTAGTTCATTACGGCAAAGCACAAGGCCTTAAATCTGGTTAGGGTAAACGATTTTTCAGCACTGGTTACGCCGCCCAGCCTCCACAAGATGAGACGAGAAGAGTGGAAAGGCTTCGCCAGGAATTTCTGGAGTGTAACAAAAAGGGGTTATAGTCAGGGTTACCAGTCATTCATCTTTTGCGGGACATCTCATTTTCCTCTCTTCCTTCAGAGCCATATATAAAATGTATATAATGCCTAAACTTTATACAAGCATAATTAGTATTAGTAGCATAATTAGTAATCTGTGGAGAACTAAATTAATCGTTGTGGCAGTATAAATTCAATAGTACGTAATAAAATTAAACAGCCGTTCTGGATTGTATAGTAGTTAGGGAGGCTTACTGCAATCCGGACACTGAAGAAATGGTTTGATTCCCATTTAAGGCTGTGTTATAAGTTTATCGTCCATTTCCTTTGCTTCGAGAGCATAATATCGCCGAATCCTTGTTATGCATCTTGGGCAACGTTATCAGTGATGAGACTGCTGAATGGCCGATGGGTTTGGCTTTAATGGATGAGCATTTAAAACCAAACGACCAGAATTTTAAAATAAATGAATAAATTCAAAGAAACTTTAGAACAGAAATTAAGATTGCGTTTGATATTTATAATATCTAAACAACGTTAATGTTAAGTCTGCTAATAGATTGAAAGCTAACTACTTCAGGTTTTAGCAAGGAAGGAAAATGAAGCGAAGTATATAACATTTATGATTCATCTGCAAGAATGGCGATTCAAATCGATTTATTGTTAACATCAAACAAATTAGTCGAAGTTCTGTTAAAGTATGAATTAGCAGCTCATTTTTTTGATTCAGAAAGTTTAAAAATTAGAGGAATGAGTACAGCAAAGGGTTTCATACTGTATCACAATACATACCTCACCACAAAAATGCAGATTTATTGAAAAAAACTTAAAAAATATATGTAACATTTTTATAAGATTTCTAATTAGTTCATTCACTGTTACTATAGTCAAAATTCTGTAACCGATTTTTAACCTATCTTCTTGATAAATTATCAAGTTCAAATTTTGTATATGCACTGTTTTTTGATGACAGTGCAATGTGGTGAAGCGAGTTTTTCAAACTTCGAATTAGACTTTTTTTTTCCCCTTAGATCATTAGATCCATATTGTTGTAAATTTCACTAAATATTTAATTTCATTTGATTGCATTGTTATTTTTGCCCATTATTGAACTATTTTGTACTGTTTTAGTCAGGTATTTATTGATTCTCTTCTTTGAGGGTCATAACATTGAGGTATATTTTATGTATAACTGAATAAATGTGATTTTTTGTTTTGTATATAAGC